TATCATAATGTCCCCAAGTATATCTAGTCCAATAACAGCCTCAGTAACGGAGGAAACAAAGACAGAGAGGGTCCACGGAACAGGTGGACTCACAGTCAGGCTAGTTCAGGCTCCATCTGTCACCTAGCCACCATGACCGCCCATTTTGACTAGTGGCCGCAGTGTCACTGTGGGTCCCTGTGGATGAACATCAGTTCAGAGCCAAAGCTTCAGTCATCCCAGTGCACAGTCACTCTGTCAATTACACAGTTCTTCTGAGTAGGAGCTACAGGGAGACTTACAGTAGGTACTTGCAGCAGGGCTGCAGAGTTCATCCTCGGGGGGACATGCCCCCACACCTACACCCCAGTTCATAAAGGGGCTCTGGGGCTGTGAATTGACTCAGTCCTAGGAGCTAGGGGAGCTGCCGTAACTCTCTACTGTGGTGATTCAAATCAGGGTTCTGGCTACCAGACCCGGACTCTTTTTCTGTTATACTTTAGTAGGCAGCCCATCAATTTTGTTCCTAGAGACACCATGATTGATTAGCCATTGCCAAGAATCCCTATGGCCAAAGGCATTCTGATTACTGTTAAGTCTCTGCCCCCCTTTGTGGTAAATGTTCCCACCTTATCTTTGACAATTAAGTGCTCCCAGTTATCCTAAGGCACTTCGGGACCCCATCACCCCACTGATATCAGGAAGCTCATCTCAGTGACAACATCCTTAGGGTCACACCTGCCTACACAGGAAAGCAAGCACAGAGCTTTTAGGGATGCAGATGCTCCCCTCACTATTCTGTTTCTCAATGTCTTAGTAAAGAAGTGTCTTCTGGGCCTTCTCATGGTTATGGATGGGTGTTTGGTGGTAGATGTGCAAGTCACACATGATAAATCCACTGTGACATTCCTGTCTCCCTACGTCTCTGGATTGTCTCCCCCAAATCATAGCAGGGAAGCTCTGGCATCTCCACCTCATCAAATGTAGGCAACTGTTGAATCACCTCTAGCTGCACAAGCTAACCCATGACATCTAGAGACTCAGGTAAGTGCGTCTGTATCAATGAATTAACCAAATGGAATGTTCTAGCCTACCCTGTTGGATCAAACACTCTTAGAATCAATTCAACATGTTTCCCAGGTTTCTTCCAATATTTATTAGCAAAATCTTACCATTCTTTTGGTGTGTAAGTGATTTCCTTTGGAGTGAGTTATCTGAGTTATATGTCCCCCTGTAACATGCTAAGATTTGACCTAGTTACAGATCCAGTGACAACAGGGGTGACTGTGCCGGGTCTGAGGAAAGCGCATCCCTTTCCAAGGCGTCCTCCCAGATGAAGTTATCACAGGACTTTCAGGCAAAGGAAGTGTCCTGAGACCCAGGAGGGCAGAGTACTTCCACTGCCAAGGGAGCGTTGATCTGTCGGTTTCATCCGAATCCGAGCAGGTGTTCCCATTCCAAGTTTCAGGGTCGGTTCTTTCCCTGTGAATGCTCTAACTTGCATATCAGAAACTTGACTGTGACAAACTCACGTGTAATCCTGACTAAAACACCAGAACAATGGTGGTGTGTTAACAACTGACAATAGAGAAAGGGTGCCCCATTATCACTGCTACAGTTAACAAGTACATTGGCTTTCCAGCTATACAATAAGCCATGAAATGAAAATAGACATACAAATAATAAAAAGGAAAATACAGAATTGTTATTGTTTGCATGCGATAAGATTTTCCACCTAGGAAATCCAAATGAATCAACTGAAAAACCACTAGAGGGTCTAAGGAATCCACAGCAATACACAAAATAAATAGCCTTTCCAAATACCATCCACTTAGAGACAGAACCAAGGTTTCGTAATGTTGTCACAGCAAAACCTGAAACAACCTAAATGTACTGACAGAATGGTTCACTAAATTTCAGTGTATTCTGACTATGAGATATTATCTATCAGTTGTATTGCTACAGAAAACATTAAAAACAAAGTAAATGTAAAAAGGAAAAAACAGGCTCTGGAACACTATATATAGTATGATCCAATTTACGTAAAAAACAAACACTAGGCCGGGCGCGGTGTCTCACGCCTGTAATCCCAGCCCTTTGGGAGGCTAAGGTGGGCAGATCACTTGAGGTCAGGAGTTCTAGACCAGCCTGGCCAACATGGTGAAACCAAAAATACAAAAATTAGCTGGGCGAGGTGGCTGGTGCCTATAATCCCAGCTACTCTGGAGGCTAAGGCAGGAGAATCACTTGAACCCAGGAGACGGAGGTTGCAGTGAGCCGAGATCGCACCACTGCACTCCAGCCTGGGCGACAGAGCGAGACTCCTCTTAAAAAACAAAACAAAACAGAAAACCACTGAAAATATGTATGTTTTGAGGTATAAGTATATGAAAAGAAATACATGTGGAAGAAACTTCCCTTCAGAAAGGGGAGTAATTTAAGAGGGCCTTCACTTTCTTTAATTTATATATTTCTGTCTTACATTGTAGCTGGACATGGTGGTGCACAGCTGTAGTCCCAGCTACTCAGAAGACTGAGGTGGGAGGATCACTTGGGCCCAGGAGTTTGAGGCTGCAGTGAGCTATGATGGCACCACTGCACCGAAGGCTGGGAAACAGAGAGACCCTGCCCCTAAAAAATAAAAAATAAAAAAATACATACTTATGTATTGCTTGTGTTATTGGGCTGAAGATCTGAGAAACTCTGGCGTCATCCCTTCGTGATCCATTTATCCAACAACTCACTGATAAATATCCAACACCTGCCAGGTATCTCACACTTGAAACAGGTAACTTGATACATAATTCTGAAACTGCAGGGCTACAGAACCCTAATTCTAATAGCCTACCAGATATTTTTTTCAGTAAAGACCTGCTAGATAGCATCTACAAATTCTCCTTAACCACACATTTGGAATTGTTGACTGAAAACTCATTAGCTTTTCCCAAAAGCAAGCTGTATTATAACTAAGCTGGAAAATTTTCTCTTTGTTCATCCAACAGGGATATTTTGAAAGACTCCAGCTGGGGCTGGGCATGGTGGCTGGCGCGGTGGCTCACGCCTGTAATCCCAGCACTTTGGGAGGCTGAGGCAGGTGGATTACCTGAGGTCAGGAGTTCTAGACCAGCCTGGCCAACATGGTGAAACCCCGTCTCTACTAAAAATACAAAAATTAGCCAGGCGTGGTGACAGGCACCTGTAGTCCCAGCTACTCGGGAGGCTGAGGCAGGAGAATCGCTTGAACCCAGGAGGCGGAGGTTGCAGTGAGCCGAGATCATGCCACTGCACTCCAGCCTGGATGGTAAAGCAAGACTGCATCTCAAAAAAAACCCCAAAAAACAAAGTAAAGAAAGACTCCAGCTATACTTAGACATACTTCTAACCTTAGATATATTATAGATCCAGCTTGGTTATTAGTATTGAAAATGCTTTTAAAACCACTTCTGTCATATATATTTCACATAAGAAGAAATAAATTGAGTAAACATGGAAAAATGTTATGTTCACTTCTATTAATAAGCAAAAAAAAACAAAAAACAAAAAAAAACAAAACAACTCATTAAATTAGCAGACTTTGAAAAATATTTAAAATGGCTACTAATGTTGAAGAGACCTTGAAATGACTGCCTGCAACACTGCTAGTGGCAGCACAGATTAGAGCGTCGGCAATGTTTATCAAAAGTCACAAAATACCAGTCTCTGAAATAATCATCTTATGATTGAGATTTACTTTTAGTAAATAGTTGCCATGAAGAAAAATAGTTCTTTGGGCTAAGCTTTAATAAGTGCATTATTTATAATAATAAAACTTTGGAAACAACCTAAATATTTAAAAAAAAATTTGTAACAAACTATGGCACAACCATTCAATGGAACATTAAACAACGATTTTCAATTATTTTATAAAGAAACTGTAATAACATAAAAAAATGAAAAGCAATGAGTCATTTTAAAAATCCTCACTCAACTGGGAATGTTATTTTTATAACGTAAAAAATTAGTAAATCTTTTTTTTTTTTTTTTTTTAGAGACAGAGTCTCGCTCTGTCGCCCAGGCGGGAGTGAGTGGTGTGATCTCGGCTCACTGCAAGCTCTGCCTCCCAGGTTCAAACGATTCTTCTGCCTCAGCCTCCCGAATAGCTGGGATTACAGGGCTGCACCACCACGCCCGGCTAATTTTTGTATTTTTAGTAGAGATGGGGTTTCATCATGTTGACCTGGCTGGTCTAGAACTCCTGACCTCAGGTGATCCGCTGGCCTCGGCCTCTCAAAGTGCTGAGATTACAGGCGTGAGCCACTGCACCTGGCCTTTATTTTTCTTTTTTATTTATTGGCCACTATACTAATGGGAAAACATTTTAATATAGTCATAATTAAAAATAATTAATTTTAAAATTATGTCTTTTTTTTTTGAGGCGGGGTCTTGCTCTGTTGCCCAGCTGGAGTACAGTGGCACAATCTCAGCTCACTGCAGCCTCTGCCTCCCAGGTTCAAGCAATTCTCCCACCTCAGCCTCCTGAGTAGCTGGGATTACAGGTGCACCACCATGCCTGGCTAATTGTTGTATTTTTAATAGAGAGGGGGTTTCACCATGTTGGCCAGGCTGGTCCCTAACTCCTGACCTCAGGTGATCCACCCACTTCAGACTCCCAAAGTGCTGAGATTACAGGCGTGAGCCACTGTGCCCGGCCCATAAATTTTTAAGTCATAATTTGACTTAATAAATTTTGTCATAAATTAAGTCATAATTTAAAAATTATGAGTATACAGCAATATAGGAATCAAAAAATTTCTTATCTAAGCTCAATGATAAAAGCAGAAAACAAAATTTTACTTGTACTCTCTCAGACTGTAACTATATAAGATATCTATTCAGATGCATAATCCTGAAATAACATGTGAACTCAAGCTCATTAGGCTGAAAGAATGATGGCTGGTTTTTCTTCAAAATATTTTTTTTGTTTCCTCAGTATGAGCAGAGTACAAAAAAACTCAAAGCACAGAAAAGTTTTGGTGACCCACCTGCTGCTGCTTTCTAAGGAACATTTCAATGTCCATATGAATCCGGGCCTCTTCTTCGGTTTTCATCCTGAGTTTCTGTAAGAACAATAATGAGACATCAGCACGTCTTCCCTGCAGCGCTGTGAATCAGAAGTTCTCAAGATTAGAGGAGCAGCTTGGTCGGCAGCTCAGGTTTCCTTTACCAGCTGGGATGCCGGGAATTCAGTTTCGTGCAATTCCTGTTCACAAACACCGCAGAGACACATGACGCGGCACTGTCTGGACTGTGTTAGTGTCCCTAACGAAAGGAGCGCAATCCCGTGAATTGAAAAGAGGTGCCCATTGAAGGAGAGAAACGGTGCTCCAAGGGCACAAGGCTGTGGGGCCTAAAAAAGGGAAATTCCAGAGTGCCAGGAAGACTGTTGTCATGGCCTTAAGCCACGTTAGTCTCAGAGCAAGGAGTCCTCCCACACACAAATTCCATGGTCTAAGGACGTTTGTTCCTTCTTCCCTCTTCCCATCTGCCTGCTGCTCTGTGTGTGTGTGTGTGTGTGTGTGTGTGTGTGAGAGAGAGAGAGAGAGAGAGAGAGAGAGAAGGGAGTCTCCCTATGTTGCCCAGGCTGGCTTCAAACTCAAGGATCCTCCTGCCTCCCCTCCGATTAGCTGGGACTAGTGCCTGGCTTTGCGTATGTGTGTGCAGTGTGTGTGTGTGTGTGTGTGTGTGTGTGCGCCATTTCGCATTCCCCTCAAAGAAGATCTACCACTTTCTTCCTCCTGATATTTTTCACCATGACTTCTCATCTCCATAAATTCAGGTTTGAATGAAGTTCACCTCTCAAGATGCTGTATTTCTTACTGGAGGAGTGAAAGGTACTGGTTAGATAAAACAAACAGCAGCAAAATCCTGCCATAACTAAGGATCTTGTTTTGCCCTCTCCCTATAATTAGAGAAATGGCGATTGGTTTGATAAAATAAGAAGAAGTGACCGAGGAGAGAAAGTACAGCCAATTTTCAAAGTCATTATGAGGCAGGAGAAGGAGGCTACAGCCCGTTGGAATCTCCGCTTGCGAACATGTGTATCCTCATTTAGGCTTTCATTTTCAACCTCAAGTGGAGGGGCTGTTGCGGAGAGAGATGGAGGGAAATCTTCATCTCCCTCCTTTGTTAGCTGAGACAGGATCAGGAGTGACAGCTCAAATGCCATCTCCTGGGTTCTTCACTAATGTCCCAGGGATTACCTCAATCTCTTCCAGCAAGACTTCCTCTGTTCTGTTACACTTTCTCTGGGTCTGGGCAATCTGCAGCTCAGTATTGGTTTTCATGTAGCGATTCTCCAAGTTGGATTTTGCTTTCATCTCTTGCAGTTGGTCCTTGAGGTTAGCAATATATTCATTCTGACTCTGCAATGGAAAGACCAGGTTTCTAAATTGAAAATACATTCTACCTCCATTCAGTTCAGCCAGTGGCTTAAGGTTCCCTTTTATAAGTGTAAATCAATAAGGAACGGGAACTAGTTTTCCGCTATCACACAACGGGAAATTTAGCCAACAATCATGAAGAGAGGAAAGTGAGTAATACAGCAGTTCGAAGAATCAGGGTGAATCAGGGCGAATCAGGGCGGAGATTAGTTCCCAGGCACATTACTGGTGTGTCCATATTTCTCACACAGATTTCTCATTTTGGTAGGAAGAACACTGGTCAAAATGATGAAAAGAACTGACTTCCCACCCAGGCCTCCAGCTGTGTGAACTTGGCCAAGTCAAATCTCCAACTTTTTTATTTTCTATAAAACACACACACACACACACACACACACACACAAACACCCACCCTGACTGAAGTATCTCAGAGATTATTAGGTTTCATTGAGAACACGTGTGAAAACGCTTTCTTTTTGCAGGTCACCAAGTGCTTGGCAATTGCGAGGACTCAATAGTCATTAAGAAAAATATTTATTCAGCACCAGGCACTGAGCTAGGCTCTAGGAAAATCATGGAGATCTAAACAGACATATTCCCTGCCCTCATAGAGCTTGCAGTCTAATAGAAGAGAGGTGGTTAAAAAGAGATAAACATGTGTAAACTTTCAAAAATTGTGCAAAATGATAGAAAAGGAAAGCTTGACAGGCTGTGGGAGGAAATAACAAGGGAAGAGTCCATTCGACTCTGGAAGGTCTGAGAGGGACTCTCTCGGGAAAGTGATGGTTCATTCGAGGTACATTAGACTCTGGAAGGTCTGAGAGGGACTCTCTCGGGAAAGTGATGGTTCATTCGAGGTACATTAGACTCTGGAAGGTCTGAGAGGGACTCTCTCAAGGAAGCGATGGTTCATTCAATACCTGAAGGATACGTAAGCCCACCACATGAAAAACAGGCTTGGCCAGGCACCGGGACTCATGCCTGTAATCCCAGCACTTTGGGAGGCTGAGGCAGGGGCATCACCTTAGGTCAGTAGTTTAAGACCAGCTTGGCCAACATGGTGAAACCCCGTCTCTACTAAAAATACGAAAAATAGCTGGGCATGCTGGCGTGTGTCTGTAATCCCAGCTACTCGGGAGGCTGAGGCAGGAGAATCGCTTGAACCTGGGAGGTGGGGGTTGAAGTGAGCCGAGATCGCGCCACTGCACTCCAGCCTGGGTGACAGAATGAGACCCTGTCTCAAAAAAAAAAAAAAAAAAAAAAAAAGAAAAAGAAAAAAGGAAAAAAGAATAGAAAAATAGGGTTAAGGGAACTCTAAAAAAAAAAAATAAGAAAAAGTATATGCCCAAATCCTGAAGCCATCAAGACCTGGATACATTCCAGGAGCGGAAAGAAAACTCCGGAGGCTCTAGCCTAGTGAGGGTTGAGGGGACGACAGGATGAGGCTGGAGGTAGGTAAGGGCACCACACAGGACCTCGGAGGCCTGACTGAGAAATTCAGGTTTTATTCCAACTGTGGTGGGAATCCTTGGAAAGCTTTTAGTCAGGGAGGTCACAGTCGTTTGAAAAGAACTGTTGGAAGAATCATTGTGTGAGTGAGTCCACAGGGAGGCGCCCTGACAGCACAGCAAACAAGCACACAGCCAGCAGCAAGAGTGCTTCCACCGAGATCCGCCCTCCTCTAGACGTCAGCCGCCTTTCTTCTCTTTTTTTACTTTGTTTGAGACAGAGTCTTGCTCTGTTGCCCAGGCTGGAGCGCAGTGGCATGATCTAGGCTCACTGCAACCTCCGCCTCCCGGATACAAGCGATTCTCTGCCTCAACCTTCTAAGTAGCTGGGACTACAGGCATGCGCCACCTCGCCCGGCTAATTTTGTATTTTTAGTAGAGACGGGGTTTCTCTACGTTGGTCAGGATGGTCTTGATCTCCTGACTTCAGGTGATCCACCTGCCTCGGCCTCCCAAAGTGCTTGGATTACAAACGTGAGCCACCATGCCCGGCCTCCAACCGCCTTTCATCTTAACCATTAAGTAGGGTAGAATTAGTTCTTTTTTATTAACAATTTTTTTTTTTCAGATACAGGATCTCCCTCTGTCACTCAGGCTGGAGTGTAGTGGCTTGATCACAACTCACTATAACCTCCAATTCCTGGGCTCGAGCGATCTTCCCGAGTAGCTAGTACTGCAGGTGCATGTCACTACGCCTGGCTAACTTTTTACTATTTCTAGAGATGGGGTCTCAGGGGGTCTCACTCTGTTGTGCAGGTTGGTCTCAAACTCTTGGCTTCAAGGGATCCTCCTGCCTTGGCTTCCTAAAGTGCTGGGATCACAGATATGAGCCACTGTGCCCGGCATTTTTTGTTGTTGTTGTTGTTGTTTCTGAGACAGTCTTGTTCTGTCACTCAGGCTGAAGTGCAGTGGCATCATCATGGCTCACTGTAACTTTGACCTCCCAGGCTCAAGAAATCCTCCTGCCTCAGCCTACAGAGTAGTTGGGACTACAAGTGCATGACATCACACTCAGCTTATTATTATTATTATTGTAGAAACAGAGTCTCACTATGTTGCCCAGGCTGGCCTTGAAACCCTGGGCTCAAAGGATCCTCCCACCTCAGCCTCCCAAAGTGCGAGGATTACAGGCAGGAGCCACTGCTGCACCCAGCCTCCTTTTTTTTCTTAAGGTAGGATCTACTGTGTTCCCCAGGCTGTAATGCAGTGTCACCATCACAGCTCACTGTAGTCTTGAACTCCCAGACTCAAGCAATCCCCTCTCTTCAGCCTCCCAAGTACCTAGGGAATTAATTCTAAGTAACTATTCAAAGAAAAAACAAAGTGGTAATTGGACAAATCCTCTGTTAAGGAAAGCAAGCAGAGGCAGAGGTGTCCAATCTTTTGACTTCCCTGAGCCGCATTGGAAGAAGAATTGTGTTGGGCCACACACAAAACACACCAAAAATAGCTGATGAGCTGAAACAAAAAACAAACAAACAAACCACACACACACACACACACACACACACAAATCTCTCATAATGTTTTAAGAAAGTTTACGAATTTGTGTTGGGCCCCAGTCAAAGCCATCCTGGGCCGCGTGCGGCCTGCGGGCTGCAGGTTGGACAAGCTTGACTTAAAGGATCATTAGGCCCCAGCCCGGTGGGGTGGCTCACGCCTGTAGTTCCAGTGCTTTGGGAAACCAAGGCCGGAGGATCACTTGAACCCAGGAGTTCAAGACCAGCCTGGGTAACACAGCAAAAACTGTCTCTACAAAAAAATGAAAAAATTAGCTGGGCCTGGTGGCACACGCCTGTGGTCCCAGCTACTAGGGAGACTGCAGTGGTACAATCCCTTGAGCCCGAGGCCGAGGCTGTAGTGAGCCACACTCATGCACTTTAGCCTGGGCAACAGAGCGAGGCCCTGTCTAAAAAAGGTCCCTAAGATGAATCAGAATGGAATTCTTCAGGTTATTTTGCCTACTAACTTTGTGATATAATTCTACAGAATCATTCTAATTGTATGACAGTTATTCCGACTAGATCAGAATCATTCCGAAGAGACTGAGCATCTCTGGCAGAGAATACGCTATAGGCCCTTTAAAAATATGTCTTAGTATTTCACATTGTCTTATAAGTTGTAGGATTGCAGGCAAATTACTGAACCTCACTAAGCCTATTTTCTCATCTGTAGAATTCTGCCCAGGCTGGAGTGCCTGGCACAACTTACACGCTCAGTAAACGTCGATGAAATGAATTTTAGGAGATGTCTGCTTTTGGCTCACTGTTTTTCTTCCATTCTTTCTATATGCACTTCCCTTCTCCCCTGTCTTCCCCCATTTCTCTTTTTTTGTTTTTTGAGATGGAGTCTCGCTGTGTTGCCCAGGCTGGAGTGCAGTGACGCGATCTTGGCTCACTGCAATCTCCGCCTCCCAGGTTCCAGGGACTCTCCTGCCTCAGCCTCCCACGTAGTTGGGATTACAGGCCTGCGCCACCACGCCTGGCTAATTTTTGTGTTTCTTTTTAGTAGAGACGGGGTTTCACCATGTTGGCCAGGCTGGTCTCCAACTTCTGACCTCAGGTGATTCGCCTGCCTCGCCCTCCCAAAGTGCTGGGATTCCAGGCGTGAGCCCCCGCGCCCGCCCATTTCTTCTCCTTCTTCCCCTTCCCTCCCTTCTATTTCCAAATTGTATGGCAGTCAGTGAATCTTTCTTTTTTTTTTCTGGAGACAGGGTCTCGCTCTGTTGCCCAGGCTGGAGTGCAATGGCGCAATCTCGGCTCACTGCAACCTCTGCCTCCCACCTCAGCCTCCCGACTAGCTGGGCCCACAGGCGCATGCACCACCAGACCCAGCTAATTTTTTCTATTTATGTTTTGGTAGAGATGAGGTTTTGCCATGTTGCCCAGGCTGGTCTCAAACTCCTGGCCTTAAACAATCCACCCGCCTCGGCCTCCCAGTGTGCTGGGATTACAGGCATGAGCCACTGTGTCCGGCCTAGGTTTGAATCTTTAGGAAGACTAGAGTTAAAGCGAAAATGTGATGGTTTTACTTCATCGACTGGAATCCTTTTACCTATATGATCCCTTAGATTTCCTTCAAGGTCCACCTTATATATCACTCAAGTAAATAAAACCTTTTGCAGAAAACCTCAGCCCACACTGATAACTGTAGTTTTGTTTCTCACAGAATCTAAATAGTGTAGACAGGTATTTATTGAATAGTGTCTGTACATACAAAAATATACTTTTGAAAACTCAAGAGCATGTTCTGGTAATTTTTCTTTCTCAGATTGAATATTAAGACTTCAGAGGCCGGGCGCGGTGGCTCAAGCCTGTAATCCCAGCACTTTGGGAGGCTGAGGCGGGTGGATCACGAGGTCAGGAGATCGAGACCATCCTGGCTAACATGGTGAAACCCCGTCTCTACTAAAAATACAAAAAAAAAAAAAAACTAGCCGGGCGTGGTGGCGGGCGCCTGTAGTCCCAGCTACTC